AAATTTTCCAAGTGCCATTTGGTCAAAAAGTCAAAAAATAAAAAATCACGCCCTTTTTGGCGATGTTTTGCACTGATAAATGGCTTCAACAAAGGAGGCATTTTTGGTCGACGTAATAGCGACTTTTTGGCGATGTTTTTTAAACAATTAATGACTTAAGCGGGGTGGTGGTGATTTTTGGTCAACGTAATAGTGACTTTTTGGCGATATTTTTCACTAATTAATGGCTTCAACAAAGCAAGCATCTTTGTTCGATGTAATAGCGATTTTTTTGTGATGATGTACTGGGCCGTTCTTAATTTTTGCATATACTACTGCCATCTCTTGGTCTTTAACAGCAAATAATTGAGTCGATAAAGAATACTGAGATCAAATAACGGTAACGACTCACCATCTACAATTTACTGTTGTGGCCAATTGACTATATTTAAAAACCTGTGTCCAATTGACGTGTGGTCAGTTGACTGCGTTCAATTGCACCCATCCCATTTCAGATAGTACGCAAAAAGTAAATTAACCCCACTATCACAATGTTTTCGAGCAGCCCGAACTACTCAAAATTAAAGACACACCTACGGCTTGCCATAAATAGATTAAAACTCCTAGAAAAAAAGAAAACCGAGTTAGCCCAGAAGGCGAGGAAAGAAATTGCAGATTATATTGCTGCAGGCAAAGTTGAGAGAGCAAAAATACGCGTTGAACATATTATCAGAGAAGATTACATGGTCGAGGCTATGGAATTAATGGAGATGTATTGTGATCTCTTGTTAGCTAGATTTGGTCTCATTCAACAGATGAAGTGTGTTTAAATGTAAGAATAAATCAAATATAAACACAGGAATGATTGTTTTTTTTTTCTCCAACAGAAATTTAGATGAAGGCCTTGCTGAAGCAATATCAACAGTCATTTGGGCAGCCCCAAGACTCCAGACTGACATTCAGGAGTTAAAAATCATAGCAGATATTTTAACATCAAAGTATGGAAGGCAATATACAGAAGCTTGTCGGGATGAGGCGGTACAGACAATATCTGAAAAGCTCAAGCACAAACTAAGCGTACAATCCCCATCAAAATTATTGGTTGAAAAATATCTCATTGAAATTGCCAAAAATTACAATGTTGAATACGAGGCTGATCCGCAAGTGATGGCTGAAGGACAGGATACATTGTTGATCGATGTTGGTTGTGGAGGGCAGCTACCAAATAACTTGGATATTGCTGGGAGTCATGCTGGTATTCCGGATCCCGTTGGATTCATTGGATTTCCACAGGCACCTCTACTACCGGAGCTCCCCTCCAACTTTGATGCTGTGGTATGTTCAATACATTTGATATTCATATTGTAAAACATTCTTTCATTTTTTTTTTTTAATTTTAGGACACAGGGGAAAAATATCCTGGAAAGGCCATGGGTTTTGTAACTCCTGGAGCTCCAATGGCATCTGAAAAAGACCAGAATATTTCATTCAACTCAGCTGCTTTCTCGTACAATATTCCTTTTGATAATGCAAACGCTAATAAACCAGTGAGTAATATATGGCTTTATTCATTCTCTTTAATTCCTATGTGCTATAATACATAAAAAAAAATTTTAAAAATCAATTTAACAGGAAGATGATCTCCCACCACCTTACTCATTCCCCCCGGATTTAAATAAACAGGTATATCATAATAACTTAATTATACAGTTAATAGGGATATGTGGAACAAAAATAGTATTTAACTTATTTTATTTGATTTTCAGTCTGATAATAAAGCTAAACCACAGCCGAGAGCAAAAATGCCCATGAATAACTTTCAATTGCCGGATCTGCCAGCAGTACCATCAGACAATGACACACCGGGCCGCAGTGGCGATAGCGATGATATTGACTTTGATGACCTCATGAAACGTTTCGAAGATCTTAAAAAAAGCAAGTGAATTTTCGTTTGATAAAATTTGTTTCTTGTATCCAAATTTTCTGTGAGTTATTTATCCACCTTGATCGATTTTTAATTATCAATTTCAATACTATTTTATGCTATCAGCTTCATTTATGGGTCGATTGCACGATATTTAATACATGCCGAAATTAAGAAATTGAGTTGATTCTTTGAAGATTTCAACCTCACATTTAGTTTCGTCCTCTGAATTTTTGCCATTAATTTCTAGTTTTAATTAAACATTTTTTAATCGTCTGCTGCTATTGGAATAATGATTCACTAATGTCCAAAAACATGCATATTGAAACATTCTAGATAATTAATATTGCATATTGATATGGATTAACTGCAGTATTGTTATTCTCAATAAATATTGTTACTATTACTTAGTATTTAAATATCAAATACCTATGTGCGATCGATAGAAATTTTTATCGGAATATTATGTTATATTTTCATTTGAAAAATAATAATAACCCAAATTATGCAAATTTGAAAAAAAAAGGAGTGTGCAATTTCTTTCGTCCCTCTCTTTAGGACACAATCTTTAATTTAAATAACAGCAATGGAGAATTAGCAAATAAAATTCAATTCTCATCCATTTATATAAGAAAATGAGACCAGTATCTTTGCCCTAAATGAGTTGTTGACAAAAACGCAATGCATAGTAAGTTAGAGTAGAGTACAGGGAAACGTGATCCGTTGGGAAGGGAGTAGAAAGTAATTGACTCGCAATCGGAGCATATCGAATGTCTTGATAGTCTTCCATTTGTATTATTATATTAAAACGTGAGACCGTCAAGATGTCCCCCAATGAGTTGGTAAGTCTAGTCTACATAACCAATAGCGGAAAATTTTTACTTACTATGACATACACATTCCGAATTTTTATCCCTTTTTTTTTTTTTTGTAGTTACTAGTCAGTATTTTATCACTATTGAATACTGCAATTGAGGGAGCAAAGACTTTTGAATCTGGCCACAATGAATCAATGAATAGTCTACCATCTACCATGACAATACCTGAAGAAAACAAACGCATAATTTACCATGATATAAAAAATCATCTTAATCACAACACACGAAATGTAATTCCAAAATTACCGAGGCCTTTTCCCTCGATTCTTCTCAAACCTCCAAACATCCAAAAACATGATCTTTACAGCATTCATAAAAAAATTATGAATGACAATTTAATGAAAAGTCATTTTATGAAAACAATCCCTTCAGCACAGAATAAGAAAAAAAAATACATATCATCTTCAAGTTTTTACATAAGAGATCATACACCTGATGAACAATTAGAGGTAATGAAGAAGTAATGAGTCAATAACGAGTGTGATTAATTAATTGCGCAAATTCATAACTTTTATCACTTATACTTTATTTAGAGTTCAGAAAAGCCGAAAGATGGTAAAGAAGAAGCAAAAACTGCTGATTCAAAAGAAAATGGAAGAATTAATTTTCACATTCATGGTCATAGAGGCCCCGACACCTATGTCTTTGGATACGATACAGGAAATGGGTAAAGTGTTTATTCTTTTTTTACTGTAATTGATTCATTAATTTAGTTAAAAAAACTGCCAAATTCTAATGAATTAATTTAAAAGAAACAATAGGCAATTTCGATATGAAGAACGTCATCATAATGGAACAGTAACAGGCCATTATGGTTATTATGATTCGAGAGGAAGACTTCGTAAAATTAATTACACATCTCACCCATTGGCTGGATATAAATCATTTCCATTCGCTCATAAATAAAGGAAAAATCGTTTAAATCTCATCATGTTCTATATTACTACTAATTATAGTCTTTTTATTTCTTTATTCAACAATAACGTTTATCGTATGTGAATATAAAACGTAAATATGAATTTATACGTCGAAAACCAAACAGTACATATAATGTAAGTATAAATTATTATAAAATTCCTATAATGATAGAATTGTGTAGGCAAATTGTACATGCAAATCCCCAGTAATTAATATTTTTTTGTGCTGCATTATTGGATAACATATAAAAACACCTCGTGAATTAATCTTTACTGGATTGCATTCATTTTTCAGTTCCACTAATATAAATAAATTGTTTAGCTACTAAATATCGTTCGAAATATCGCGACCAAATTAATGTTACATGAGTTTGTAACCATCGAACTGTTAATAATATTATCCACAATATGTATACTACTTCTTATGCATAAATATATTCTCCAAATATTTTTAGCTTTACGGTGATTTTTTCCAGAGCATATGTACTTATATATGTATATATTCTTCTCTTCGATACTTTCAGTTTGCCTTATTCGCTTCACCGTACGAAGAGCTCTTGCTAATCTCTGACATTCCGATTATTTGATTCATTAATATATAAACTGTAATGAATAATGGTTTTTTTTTCTATTAAATCTATTAAATAAATCAATTTTTTTTAAGCATAGCCACCAAAAATTGTTAATACCATGATGAGAGTACTTACACAAAAATATTATGAAGATGCCCGCAGAAAAGTAATAAGTAGAACCTGATAACAACAGACTAACAAGATAGTACAACATGGGAACCAGAACAATTACTGCCCATAAAATTGTGTTAAGCATGGAGTAATATCGCCTTTTCACTCTAAACGTATCCGGTCTTGGTACACCGCTTTGGATGAAAAAATCACCAGTATTGATAAAACTGTCCGCCAATTTATCCTGGAATATGTAAAACAATGATGTAGTATTGATTATAAAGAGCACTGTAAAAAGAAAAAAAAAATACATAAGGAAATGTACTTTCTCTTGATATCGCTTGTGCAACCAGGCGGCAGCTTCTTTCTCTTCATCAGGAACATCTGACATTGGTATACGTTTAATGTACAAATGTGCCTCACACTTTTCACCTCGTAATAAGTTTGTCATTGTTGGCTTCACTGATGCTTTTCCATCGAAACCCAATTGTATATCATAAATTGCATTGACTTTTCCTTTTAAAAATGGTAAACTCGCTGTAAAGCCCTTTGTACGTGGAGTAAGATGATGTTTCAGAACAGGTAAACCTTTTTCCTTGGCAAATTTCTCACTTACTTCATGTTTTTTTTTGGTAAAACGTGTACCCTCTGCATAAAGAAGCAACTGAAATTTTTTCCTCGTTAATTTTTCAACAGACTATTTCTTTTGCTCAATGAATTTGAGTGTAATTCCTCCATAAATATTAACCATGCTTACCCACATTGAATCCGGATAATCACCCAATTCCGTAATTTGTCGTCCGATAATGTCTTTATCTTTATCCCAATTCCTTTCAAGAAAAATGTCCTCAGCAAATTTAAATGCCCAACCAAGCGTTGGGACATATTGAATTGATTTCTTAGCGTAAGCTTTGCAGTTCTACATTTCAAGCGACATATATAATTTCGACTCTTTAAATTAATAGTTTTTGTTCCAACATCATACACTTCTCTATGTAAGTAATAACACAATTTGATAACTGAATTAATTTTCCATCGCTTCCATAGAGAAACATTGATTTGGTGAAATGGAAAAATGAATATATAAAAAGACATAATTACACCAAGATTTTTTATCCGCTCACAAAAGATCCATCCCATGAGCCAATCAATTTCATAAGTGTGATTCATTAACAAATAACCATGCTCGTGCCCATAATATTTTTCAAATTCCTCCTTGTCGATATATATTATTAAGTCTGTTCCAGACCACCATTCAGCCATAAATACTAACTCTATAAATTAAATCATATATATTTATCAATGGAAAATCACAAATTGCCATGACATATGATGAAAAAAGGCAATTACAAAAAAGAGAAAAATCCTTACCGGAGTAAAATGAATAGCAGAGGTAGTAATTTATTTTTCGATAGAGATATTTGGAAAGAGGCCTGAGCGTAATCCACAATAAACACTGGATGAAATTTATCATTAGGCCAGAAATGAAAAACGTTATAGCGAACATCAAGTGTGCAACAGTGTTGCGTTTGAAGGCCTTTGCAAAACTCATATTTTATTATTATTATTGGTCTTTCCTATATTTCTTTCAATCCGCAAAATTCTCTGTTATCCTTAAGGGGATTATATCTCTTACACCACAAATCTGTAATGTAGTAATCGTAAACAAACTAGTTAGAGAAAATTTAAACGTGAAACTAATATATGAATTTAATGTGTAAGCATATGACAAATTATGAATAATAATTAGAAAACATACAGTCAAACAACCTTTGAACAATTGCGTTCATTGGCGAACAACTATCGTCCCTTGTAAATGTTTGTATGCACTTATCCACCTCGGTCGATTATTTTTCAATGGAAATTCAACTGATATAAACAAGCTTGGAAATTTTGCAAAGGGTAGATCTAAAATTTTATCATTTCAATGTTGCATCAATAGAATTTTTTTTAACAAAATCTCACTTTGTACTTGATGATAATTAGATTCCGAATTTTTATGTACAAGTCATTGCAAGTAACAATTTTTCAATCAACAACGTTTTTATCTCGTTTTTATCGTTTTTTTTTTTTTTTAACCTTTCTTACAGTAAAAAATCACACATCGACGCTGATTCAATGCCCAAAATTACGTTGGAAGATAATTTAATATTCAAAAAAAATTGAAAAAACGAAACGACCTGTGCTATTGAATTCTGCATTACAAACAAAGACACAATTTTTTAAAATTTATACCTCTTAGCACATTATTGCACACGCTCCTGCACAGGGTGTAAATTTATACACTTTTAAAAGCTCGAATGTGGAATTTTTGAAATTTCCTTAACTTGTGGAACGAAAGTAATTTGTAATTTTTAATTTTTTTCAAATAGAAGAATTGAGAAAAAACGAGAGAACGATGGGGTATTATTATACATGAGTGATACACAATTTACCATGCTTTTATTTGTTCACAGTTATATACCGAAATAGGAACCGCGCAATGATTTGAAGTTGGTGCATTATGCTTATGCAATCACTCGAAATTTTCGATTAATCGAAGCTGCTCTTGGTATTCTGATCCAAAGAGGATTGACCAAAGCAGAGGCTCAGTTCTGGGGGTTTGAGTGACCCCATCGGCATCGTAGTAGTCGACCCCATAAGAGGGAGGGCGCCACACGCAACGCTGGGGTATCTGTCGTTAGCCGACTCAGCGACTTTTCAGTAATATCCCTCCAGCTTCCCTTTTAATAACTCTGAGCTGACTGGAATTTTTGACGAGCTGATTTCAAAGCCTCCGACTGCTAATTATTTGTGTTTCAACGAATTAACAGTTATTAAAAATATCTTCACAAATTTGTCAGTGATGTTTACTTGATTTACTTCAATAATAATTTAATATCGTACTTACCGTTTTGAGCAGAGATATAAAATACGACGTAAATTTAAGGCCCGGATGGATTATCTGGAAAATATAATTTACTCCGAAATTTGGACTGCTAGTTACTCCGGAAATTAATCGTTTTTTCCAATAATTGTTAGCTAGCACCGTAGCGGTTGTCAACAACTAGAGCGCTAGCTAATAATTATCGGAAAAATCGATTA